AAATTTGTTACACGATGATCAATTGTCCCTATCGATATACTGAGATTTGGTTTATTAATTCATCAGAAGACTAATAACATTGAATCTTTCATCATTTTGAAATTTCTTATGTAAATGCCCTATAGTAATCGTTTCGATTATAGGAGCGTAAGCATTATTAAAGCATAAGCATAAAGTACATAAAGTATACTGTATGTATTATACCATTCGTATTTTACAATGCAGCAATATCTGCAATTCATTTAGGCATGTGCCGAGTTGGCTGACATAAATTTAAAATCGTATTATTCTATTCATTTTACAAAATTCCAAAGTTTTATATGATTCGACAGTTAGAAATTTTAGTTTTTTTGAAAGTTAAATTTATGTGTTATCAATTTGCCGGTCGTTTCAGATTTTAACGATTATAGGAGCAGACATATTATCGTAATTAGTTATAGCTTGTGTTAACCGGGTTAACATAATTCTTCGTTTGTGTATAGGAACGTTTTGCCGACACCATATCACATTTCCAACGGTCCATTTCATAATTCTGGGATGTCATAAAGTACTCTCGGTTCGAGACTCTGAAACTTTTGAATAATATAGTAGTTAAGTCATAATAAGGAATTGAAATACCTACCTTAGAGCGCTGTATCCAATACCCGGAAACATTTTGAATTGATCTTTAAGCAGAGGTTTCATTTCATTTATACTCGGATATATGTCAGAAGTTTCGCGCGGTGGTCTACTCGGGCCTTATGCTAGAATGCTAGACCAATTTAATTCTACGTTTAACCCCCTATTTTTTAAAAACACACCACATTAACAATCAAATTGCAATAATTTTTGCAGCTAACAGAATTACTGTATTTTTTTAATTTGTGTTTTTTTTTATGCCCTCCCTTCCCACTCTTATGGTTCATTTTATGTTATGTTAAACGAAGAAGTAATTTGGAATGGCTTTAATCAGGAGTATTATTCTAGGGGTAATAAATACAGCACTTTACGATACACGTACATATCTTGGTATGTACGTACGTGCATACCTGATACTGTACGTACGTACGTACGTACGTGCAACATGTGTTCATTACTTGCCAAAAAGTGATTTTAAAATAATATGCAAATAGCATTAGTTTACAATATTTCTAAATTCGTATTGAGGGT